GACTCACACCACGAGGAGCCCGAACGAGTCACACCAGGAGGAGGGGCCCGAACGACTCACACCAGGACGAGGGGCCCGAACAACTCACACCACGAGAAGCCCGAACGACTCACACCAGGACGAAGAGCCCGAACGACTCACACCACGAAGAGCCCGAACGACTCACACCAGGAAGAAGGGCCCGAACGACTCACACCAGGACGAGAAACCCCAAACGACTCAAACCACGAGGAGCGTTTTCTCTCCCTCCTCCTCCGCCTCGTCCTTCTCCCGCTGCCCCCACAAGGAGGATGTACAAGGAGGCGGGAGGAAGGAGGAACAGGGGAGATATGCGGGGCAAAGCGGACACACGCCTGAAAAAAACACAACTGTCGGCATGCTTCGCAAGAGTTGCTGTTGTGAGATGGGCTGGTGGGGATACGCGAAGCGTAAAGAATTATAGTAGCAGTCGTCGTCGTCGTCGTCGTCGTCGTAGTAGTAGTAGTAGTAGTAGTAGTAGTAGTAGTAATAGTAGTAGTAGTAGTAGTAGCAGCAGTAGTAGTAGTAGTAGTAGTAGTAGTCGCAGTAGTGGTGATAGTCGTCGCAGTACTAGTAGTAATAGTAGTAGTAGTAGTAGTAGTAGTAGTAGTAGTAGTAGAAGTAGTAGTAGTAGTAGTAGCAGTGGTAGTAGTAGTAGTAGTAGTAGTAGTAGTAGTAGTAGTAGTAGTAGTCGTAGTAGAAGTAGTAGTAGTAGTAGCAGTAGTAGTAGTAGTAGTAGTAGTAGTAATCGAAGTTGTAGTACTAGCAGTAATGATAATACTAATACTAATAAAGCTGGTGTTGGTAGTGGTAGCGGTGGCAATCGTAGTAGTAGTAGTAGTAGTAGTAGTAGTAGTAGTAGTGGTAGTAGTCGTAGTAGTAGTAGTAGTAGTAGTAGTGGTAGTAGTAGTAGTAGTCGTAGTAGAAGTAGTAGTAGTAATACTAGCAGTAGTAGTAGTAGCAGTAGCAGTAGCAGTAGCAGTAGTAGTAGTAGTAGTAGTCGTAGTAGTAGTAGTAGTAGTAGTAGTAGTAGTAGTAGTAGTAGTAGTAGTGGTAGTAGGAGTGGTAGTAGTAACAGTAATGCAAGACATCGTAGTTGTTGTTGTTGCTGTTGCCGAAGTCCCATTTCTGAAGCGATAATGCTGTTTACCCCCCATCATGTAACCACTGTAGCTGTTCAATTGAAATATTATTCCCGGGGCTTGCGGCGCCCTTTCCAAGCAAAAAAAACGACGGGTCACCAAACTGGGTTGTTGGCCCCCTGTTTACAAAAACAATGGCTCTCGATGGGTACTTCCCCACAAGTCATTCCAAAATCGCGCTGTCGTGCAAGACTTCCTCATGATCTACACGGGGGTCGCGCTCTCGCGTGGGACGTCCTCGCAATTCATTCAGACGCCGCGCCCTTGACGCTCAGGAATCGCGCTCTCGCTCAAGCTCCTCCCACGATTAATATGGGAATCACTCTGTCGTTCGAAACCTCCTCGCGATCCATGCCGTACTCACGCTTCAGCAGCAACCCGCCTGCTCGACCTGGCCGTTTTGGCCCGCCGCCGCGGCCCTCCCGACCTGCCCGTTTGGGTCCGCCCGCCCGACCCGCCCATCTGGTTTTGCCGCGTGCGTTCCTGCTCCTAACACTCCTCCTGCATATCTCTCTCGTGCTCCAGCCTTCTCCCTCCCCATTTGTCTTCCTACCTCCCTTCTTCCCTTGTGTCAGGGGTTGCGCCAACTACACGCGGCAGGTAGACCCCCAAGGGGGGTCCGATTGCAGACGAAGAGGGCGGGTAGCGAGGGTTCGGGATATACGTGAGCAGGTCAGAGCGAGCACTCTGAACATGATTACTGAATCCTCACAATCGGAAGATAATGACTGCAAGAATCGAGCTTCCGCGTGGGACTCCCTCGCAATGTATTCAGACGCCGCGCTCTCGACACTCAAGAATCACGCTCTCGCTCTGGCCTATGTCATTACTTCATCGGGAACCGCGCTATCGCTCCAAATTGACTCACGAATCATGCAGGACTCACGCTTCAGCAACCCGTCCGCTCGACCTGGCCGCCCTGGCCCGCCTTCCCGACCCGCCCCATAAGGTCCACCCGCCCGATCTGCCCGTCTGGTTCTGCCACGTGTTCTCTGTTCCTCGCCCCCTCTCCTGCTAATCTCTGTCATGCTCCTTGCCCTTCCCTCCCCCATTTGCCCGCTCCTTCCATCCGCCCTCTCTTCCCCTGCATTAGGGGCTGACGGGATACACGTTGCAGGTAAGTGGAGGGTTTGGGATATTACGCGTGTTGAATGGCTGATGCTTGTTGATGGTGTTGGTAATTTCGTTGTCGTTGTCGTTGATCCCCCATGCCCGGTGACCACCGTGCTTTTCAATTCAAGTGCTCATCATGGGGCTCGCACCTTGTTTTCTCCAGCCATCATGTGGTGTTGGGTCCTCGTTTTGAAGAGACAACGCCCCGCGTCTCCCTCCTCCTCCTCCTCCTCCTCCTCCTCCCGCTGCCCATTCCCTCCCACTCTCACCATCATCATCGTCTTCGTCATCGTCGTCATCATCACCACCATCACCATCATCATGGGCACCATCGCCATCATCGGCGTCATCAACATCGCCATCGTCAGGGTCGTGCCTCTAGTCTCTTCGTCCCCACCATTCCGGCACACCCCTCACACGCTTCGTGGCCGCATAGGGAGCTCCACCTAAGGCCCCAATGGAAAAGTTCGCATGGCGGCCCCTTCCCACTTCGGCACACCCCTCACACGCTTCGTGGCCCCATAGGGAGCTCCACCTAAGGCCCCAATGGGAAAGATCGAATGACGGCCCCGCACGATTCCGGCACACCCCTCACACGCTTCGTGGCCCCATAGGGAGCTCCACCGAAGGCCCCAGTGGGAAAGTTCGCATGGCGGCCCCTTCCCACTTCGGCACACCCCTTACGCGCTTCGTGGCCCCATAGGGATATCCACCGAAGGCCCCAGTGGGAAAGATCGCATGGCGGCCCCGCCCCATTTCGGCACACCCCTCACACGCTTCGTGGCCCTACAGGGAGCTTCATCTAAGGCCCCAGTGGGAACGTTCGCATGGCGGCCTCATAAGGAGCTCGAGCTGACGCCCCAAGTGGCCCAATAGGGAGCTCCACCTAAGGCCCCAATGGGAAAGTTCGCATGGCGGCCCCTTCCCACTTCGGCACACCCCTTACGCGCTTCGTGGCCCCATAGGGAGCTCCACCAAAGGCCCCAATGGAAAAGTTCGCATGGCGGCCCCGCACCATTTCGTCACAGACCTCACACGTTTTGTGGCCCCATGGCCCCAAAGGGAGCTCCACCAAAAGCCCCAATGGGAACGTTCGCACGGGGACCCCGCCTCATTCTGGCGCACCCCTCACCCGGTTCGTGGCCCCATAGGGAGCTCCACCGAAGGCCTCAGTGGCAGGGTTCGCATGGCGACCCCGCCCCATGCCGGCGAACCCCTCACACGGTTCGTGGCCCCATAGGGAGTTCCACCTAAGGCCCCAGTGGCAAAGTTCGCGTGGCGGCCCCGCCCCATTTTGGTGCACCCCTCACACGGTTCGTGGCCCCACAGGGAGCTCCACCGAAAGCCCCAGCGGCAGGGTTCGCACTTCGTGGCCCCATAGGGAACTCCACCGAAGGCCCCAGTGGCAGGGTTCGCATGGCGCCCCCGCCCCATTCTGGCGCAGCCCTCACACGGTTCGTGGCCCCATAAGGGAGCTCCACCAAAGGCCCCAGTGGCAGGGTTCGCATGGCGGCCCCGCGCCAATTCGGCGCACCCCTCACACGGTTCGTGGCCCCATTGGGAATTCCCCTTGCTTCGTCCCACGTGCCCTGCGGTTCTCACACTTGCGTACGGTTGGGTCCTTCGCCGGGATAACTCATAAAAAGGGGAAACGTAGGGTTACCAAAATGCGCCATTGGACCCCGAGTTGCAACAACAGCGCCTCCTGCCTTATACTTCCCCACAATCTGTTTCAGAGTCGCACTCCCGCGCGGGACGTCCTCACAACGTGTGCAGGAAATGCGCTTTCGCGTGGGGCTCCCTCACAATTTACTCAAGCGCCGCGCCCTCGACGCCCAGGGATCGCGCTCTCGGCACCCCAACAATCATGCAGCGGCCCGTCCTTGCGCCGAGGCGGCGGGCTCTGACAACTTCCCTTCCTCCCTCCTCCTCCCTCCCTGCCTCTGGGGAGCCTCTCTCCCTCTTATCCTCCCTCCTTCTCCCTCCCTCCCTTGTCTTTCCTCCCTTTTCCTCCCTCCTCCGTCTCCTCTTCCCTTCTCCTTCCCTTTCTCCCTTCTCTTCCCTCCCTGCCTCTGGGGGGGGGCAAGCAGATACCGATACCCGTACTGCTGCTCCGCGAACCTCTCCAGGCGCGCGTTCTGACCAGGATCTCGAGGCGAATCCAGCCGCGGCGACAAAGGAAGGGCAGCGGTATCAGTACCATGGTCCGCCTCTGATTGTGCAGGGACCGACCGCCCTGGCATTCATATGTGCCTATAACGGCATGGTCCTAGAACAAAAAATGCCCCAATTACGGACATCAGGTTCTTAGAGCGTAAAGCCCGCGTATTGAAGCCACGACGGTCTCAGCCAGAAATTTTCGTGCAAGCCGGAAGGGGCTCTTAGGACATTCGTTGGTGTGCCTATACGATCGCCGCTGCTTGATCTGAGCCTCCCCCCTTCCTCGTGGGCAAATCACACATCCGTACCCGCGGCCTCGCGGGCGAGGCCCCTGTGCTTAGGTCGGGCATGTCCTCCTACAGGCAGATTTTGAGCGAAAAACCCGGGCCGCGACCCAGTGGATACGCGTATCTCCGCGGATGCCCCCCAAGGAGCACATATCCGTGCGACCGCGTATCCGCGGGATCGCACCCCCGAATCCAGACCGCGAGGGCGCGGATACGGAGATGTCCGCCGCTCTTGACCTCCAGCGCCCTCTTGCGCCTGCCCCCCGCTCCCCCACTTCGCCTCGGCGCCAGTCTGCTCCTCCACGTACTCGATGAAGGGCCGTATCCAGCCGACGACCTCTTCGTCGCCGTCTCCCCTGGGCACCCGGGACCGGCGGCGCCCAGAGGCCACGCGGAGGCCCAAAGAGAGGGGCAGCATTGTTTGTCTTGTTTCTGCTTATGTTTGTTTTGCATTTGCTTTTTGAATAGATCGGGGATCCCTGAGATCCGGCAGTTCTGGAGGCAGCCCAGGTCTCACCTTGCTCGGTGCACTTCTGACCCGCTCGTGAGCTGGGTCAGGCCAGACGTGACCAACCTTGGCATCCCCCTCTAAAACCCCCTGTCCGCCCAGCACCCCCCGCGGTGTTCCAGGCAGAAGGGCCATCAAAGTCAGAAGGGGCCCCTCGATCCTCGATCCTCCTCGTCGTCGTCCGGCGACGTCGCTCTCCGCGGCTGGCTCGGTCTGCGGCGGGGCGTCGATGACCCACATCGGCGGCTCCTCGCCCGAGAGGGGCGCGGAGAGCTCGAGCGCCGGAGGGGCGCTCCAGAGAAGAGCAGCGATGCGAACGAGAATCGAGACGTGAAGGGAGTGGGATGCAGGATGGAGGGAAGGACGAGTTGCAAGAAGGCTTTGCAATTTGCTCTGCAGTCGCTTTGACCAGCCGGCTCGAGCCAGCCGCCTCAGGCGGCGGAACGCACTCGGGAGAGATGGGGGGCGTATGCGAGTATCCCCGTCGACTCGGAGGGCGTGGTTACGACTGGCTCTGTGTGGCTCGCACTTAAGGGCCACATTCCAGAAAGAATTACGAGCACCCAGAGAAGTATCGAAACAGTGTCTGCCCGACATGCTGGCGAAGTGTCGAGCGAGTGGCGCCTCCCATGGCCCAGTACGCGTGAACAAAAACCTCCAGTTTCCACACTCTCCTGGTGCTTGACATTATTTCTGGCGGCGAGCGAAGGGGGAAGTGAGAAGGAGAAGGCCTTCTCAGAAGGTGGCGGACCTTCTCGGAAGCCCTCGCGCGTTCTGAGAACTCTGTTCTGTCTCCGGGAAGGCTTTCAAAAACTCCTCAGGAGGCCCGGGGATTTCCGCGCCTACTGCGAAGGCCCGCGCCTTCTCACTTCCCCCCCTCGCTCGCCGCCGACTCCTTCTGGCGAGCAGAGCTAAAGCACGCGTCGTTCATTTAGAATTGTGTTCATTTCTAATGGTGCTCGTTTCTAATTGTCCCTGGCCCCCTGGTGGCCAGGAAGAGGCCCACGATAGAACAATTAGAGCTGAAAAGGTCTTGCCCTCCCCCCAAAAAAATCAAGAGCTTCCGAATAATGAGACATGAACAGTGCGTATGGGCGGGGAGATCTCGAGGCTGGGTCCGTGCGCGGTGGGTACCTGGCAGTCAGGCCGGCCCAGAGGCACGCAGCGGCCGAGCGCCAGAGCGGCGCGCGGTCACGCGTGCACCCAGCTCTCGCCCAGGCCAGCCACGCCACGTGGGGCCCAACCACCCGGCAGCAACACCAGGCACGCCTCCCGTCGGAGATTTAACGTGCAATCAAAAGCAGCACCGCTTGAATCAACATGCGGCGTGACAATCTCTGAAACCGCATCGACACACGAGATCGGCAACTTCTGTTCTGAAGTCGCGCAGCAACACGTTACGTGCTGCTGCGCGATGAAACGGACTGAACACACCACGGAATGAACGGGACAAGCAAAACGAACAACGAAACGCAACATTTGATCCGTGACAAAAAAACAAACAACGAAACGCGCGCCAAAAAACAGACCGTTCAAACGCGTTTAAAGCTAACACGAACAACACCACGAACGACCACGAAAACGGAAACGAAAAACAACACGAAGGCAGCAACCAAGCTAAACAGCAGCAGCCTCACCGCGCGTGCGGCCGATCAGCACCAGCGCAGGCGCGGAAGGAGGCATGACAATCTTCGAAGCCACATCGAGACACGAGAACGGCAGCTTATGTTCTAAAGTCGCGCAGCAACACGTACCGACCCCACCGCGCGTGCAGCCGATCGGCACCGGCGCAGGCGCAAAGAGGGAGGCGACGGCGACGGACGGCGGAGGGAACCGCTTGCATCAGCATGCGGCATGACAATCTTCGCAGCCACATCGATACACGAGATCGGCAACTCAAATTCTGAAGTCGCGCAGCAGCGCGTACCGACCTTACCCAGCATGCGGCCGATCGGCACCAGCGCAGACGCGGAGGGCGGTGACGGCGACGACGGCGGAGGGAAGAGAGTCGGGGGCGCGCAAACATGGATTAGGGATCCATAGATTTGGCGCGCGGTCACCAAATCCATGGATCGGCGGAGGTGCCCTCACCAAAATGCGGCCGGTGCCGCCTCGCTCGGCGGCGGAACTCCGCGCTTTCCGATGGAAACGGGACCCGACGCTGATCCCCCCCCCCTTGATCCCAGACCCCCGACGTCATGATTTTTTCATGACGCGACCCCCGAAGGTCCCGACCGATTCCCCGGGACCAGCTTCTCATCCCGAATCGTTGTTTGACGGTCCCGAGGCCCTGTAAGGGCCCCCCGAGGCTGAAAACAGCGAAAAATCTCCCGTCGTGATTTTTTTCATGACTCGAGGGGGTGCTGGGATCCATGTTTGCGATCGCGGGACCCGTCGCTAATCCACGCCCCCTTGATCCATGCTTGCGATCGCCTGAGAGAGGCAGGGCGGAGCAGGCGCACGGGGCGGGCACCGCGGCGGGCACCGTCGGGGGGAGGAGCGTCCGCCCACCACGCCTCCCGGGGGCGCCACGTGCGCCACCACCACTACAGTGAAGACTGATAGTAAGGATGCGCAATAAGGATTCAAGCCCCTTGGGAAGGGTACCGATCTGTATCATCGGTTTCGACCGTACTGTTAGGTCGCGCCTGTCCCCCTACAGGAGGATCTTCGACTAACAATTTTCACACAATACCCCAAACATATGCAGAATTGAAAAATACTCACAAAATAATACCCAGACTAATGTTGTGCGAAAAAATCAAAACAAAACTATCCCAACAAATGCTCAACACACACACAAAAATGGTCCATAAGAAGTCCCCGCATGATGTTTGACTGTTTCTGCATGTTGCCCCTGTAGAGGGACAGGCCCGATCTAACACTACTGCACATCCGCCACCACACCGCGAGGCACCTACGGCAGGTTCGTGTCGTGCCGACCCCGGCGTTGGTTTCCGACCCCGCGGGGATCGTTCAACCTTGAACGATCGGCCGTCTCCGCAACGTCCGATCGTTCCACATCGAATGATTCTGGGCCGCCGGCGGCGTTCAACCTTAAACGCCCGCGCTGGGGTCGCCGCTGGTCGACACGACGCAAACCTACCGTAATACGCAGAGTGCCCTCAGGTGCCTCCGGATGCTGTGCTGAGCGGCGTTCTCTTTCAACGGCGCAGGTCCCCGTCGGGCGCTCCCGGGCACTCCCTGGCGCCCTCGGAGATCCCCGCGCCGGGCACTCTTGGGCTCTCATTTCCATAAGCGGTGGGAAAGTGGCCGCAGGTCTGAAACTCCAGCATGCTCTAAGAGACGCCCCACCCGAGGGACCGTCCTCGGACTCTCTCTCGAGCCTCTCGGAGACCTTTTTGGGCTGACACCCCTTTTCGCACGTCATCTCCTCCCGCGCCCCGAACCCGAACTGGGCGGGTCTTCCCATGTGCTCGCTGCTCGCTGCTGCTGCTGCTGCCGCTGCTGCTCCTGCTTCTGCTGCTGCTGCTGCTGCTGCTGCTGCCGCTGCTGCTGCTTCTGCTGGCGCGGCTCCTCCTCCTCCTCCTCCTCCTCTTCCTCCTCCTCCTCCTCCTCCTCCACCTCCTCCTTCCCCTCTTCATTCTCCTCTCTGCTCCTGCTCCCTCCTCCTCCTCCTCCTCCTCCTCCTCCTCCTCCTCCTCCTCCCTCCTCCTCCCATCCTCCTCCTCCTCCCTCCTTCCTCCTCCCTCCTCCCTCCTCCCTCCTCCCTCCTCCCTCCTCCTCCCCCTCCTCTTCCCTTATCCCTCCTCCCTTGGTCTGTAGGCGGTTCCGCGTTCTGACCACCCCTGGCAATGCCGGCCCTGGAGGTCTTTCGAGGATATGCGAGTTCCGAGTTCCGAGTTCCATCCTCCCTCCTCCCTCCTCCCTCCTCTTTCCTCCCTCCTCCCTCCTCGCTTCTTCCTGCTCCCGCCTCCCTCCTCCCGCCTCTTCCCTCATCTCCCACCTCCCTCCTCCTCCTCCCTCCTCCTCCTCCTCCTCCTCCTCCTCCTCCTCCTTCTCCTCCTCACCCTTTTCCTTCTCCTCCTCCTCCTCCTCCTCCTCCTCCTCCTCCTACTCCTGCTCCTGCTCCTGCTCCTGCTCCTGCTGCTGCTGCTGCTCGTACTCCTCCCTCCTCCCTCCGCCCTTCCTCCTCCCTCCTCCCCTCTTCTCCTCCTCATCCTCCTCCTTCCTCCCTCTCCTCCTCCTCCTCCTCCTTTTTGCTGCTGCTCCTCCTCCTCCTCCTCCTCCTCCTCCTCCTCCTCCTCCTGTTGCTCCTCCTCCCCTCCCCCTCCCCCTCCCTCCTCCTCCTCCTCCTCCTCCTCCTCCTCCTCCTCCTCCTCCTCCTCCTCCTCCTCCTCCTCCTCCTCCTCCCCTTCCTTCTCCCCGGCCCACCCCCACAGCGGCTGCTCCTCGCTAATCAGGTGCGCCTGCAGAGCCCCCACCATCAGGGGGTCGTAGAACTCCTCGAGGCGCGCAGCAGCGGCGGGAGGCGACGGCATGGGCGGGCACGGGCAGAGGAGAGTTCCGTGCTGCCGCCACGGCGGCAGGAGGAGGAGGAGGACGAGGAGGAGTTCGAGGAGGAGGAGGAGGAGGAGGAGGAGGAGCGGGAAGAGGAGTGAATTTTTGAAGTGTGACCTGATTCGCCCTGGACAACGGACAGATAGTGTCGGCACGCAGCTAGCTTCATACACGCGAGCAGTCGAGAGCATTGTAGCACGGGCGCCAAGGAGAGTACGCGTTCACGGCCCAGCCTCCCACTGCCCATCCCGCCCCCAACGACCACACCTAAAGGTATGACAGCTTGGCGCCGTGCGTGTCAGAGCAGAACAGGTTCCGACCCCAAACGGGCGAAGTAAGTGTCAAGACATCTCCATTCCCGCTCACCAAACCCATCCCCGACCTTATCGCTTGCCGAACAGGCTACGCCATTAACGGTGCACGAGCGTGGGTATAGAGAGGGGGGATCATATACGCAGGAGAGAGAGCGATTGAGAAGGACATCGTCTCTCAGCGGGTCCGCTGCTGGCACCCTCGCGTCAGAAGGCATGGCGGGGCGCGCTATTCGCACTCTCGGCCAAGCCTCCCGCGCCTGAGCACCATCAGAGAGACGGTCCTGACGAAACATTCCACGACGTCCGCACAAAGTGGGCATGCCATGCAGTGGCAGCAGGCAGCAGCACCCCTTCCCTGCTACCCCATTCTCTGCTGCTCGCCGCGCACGTGGGAGGGTGCGGAGGTGGAGGCCGAGGGGAATACAAGAAGGTGATACTCCATGGTCCCGAGGGGATACACGCCCCGTCGCACGTAAGCCATCGTGGGCACCCGTAGGGCTCTACGGGTCTACCCCCTCGGTAAATAATGCACATATGTGGCACCTGACATCCGCCTCTCCGCGCGCCTTCTGCAGACAACACTTCGCCAGCTCGGCATGGCGGGGCGCGCTATTATCGGCCTCGGACCGCGCGCGGGGTCAAGCATGTGACGCCATGAGACAATTCCATGGCCCTCTCCCACGCCATAACCCTGCACCAGCCCAGCTACTCCTTACTGCCGCTCGCAACACACATGCGATGCAAGAAACAGGATGAGAAGGGAGGATGAGGATGGGGAGGGGCCATGGGAGTCACACTGGCCTCAAGAGGGGACACCTCGTGGCCAGCAATGCTATCCAGGCTCGCGGGGGACGCCCGCGGAAACTCCCGCGCGCTGTCGTCGACGCGCGCGGACATCCACATCCAATACCTCCGTCGCTGCACTGAACTATGAATCGACGATCAATGCATGCTGACAAGTGCGCAGCATTATGCAGAGGCGCATGGAAGAACAGTGCCGATGCAAGAACAGACGAGGCAATTCGTACTCTTCTGTTTCCTCTGAGGCAAAAGATTGCAAGAGAACATGCCGCGGCAGGACTGGACACCTCATCCACGAGCCTGCTGCAATATAGAAGTGGATTGCACGACAAGACAGCACTGCACACGTGAGCATACAACACTGGCGGAGGTCACGCGCGCTGGGCAAGAGCCAGCACCGCTGGCAGCGTTCACCTCCGCAGGGAGACTCACCACCCTTGTGAAAACACGTCTTCCCATGTCCGTCATGTGATCGTCTGGGGCTTCGATCCCTCTCAACATCTGAACTGCGGGCTGCCTCATCTCGTCCCCTTGGCAACGGGCGCTCTTCTCCAGGAGCCACATGCAGCTCCGCCCTGATTGATGTCGGCGGTGACGGTGCCACCCCAACGGACGCCATGGCTGCCACGATGATCGGCTGCCCTGGGCATGCAATGCCCCTTGCCCTCGTGGCGCGGCGCTCCTCCTCAGCGGCCTCTGCGCGGCGCTCGGCAGCTGTCCGCATGGCTCGGCGGCGTGCGATGTCTCTGACCCGCATGGCGCGGCGCTCCTCCTCGGCGGCCTCTGCACTGCGCTCGGCAGCTGCCTTGGCGCGGGCCGATCGGGCAGCCTTCTTGGCCTTTCAGTCGTTGGCAGCCACATCATCTCCAGCATCTTCTGGCACAGGCCCGCCATGCCCGCCATCGACATCTGCCTGCCACTCTGCCGCGGCACCGCAAGGCCCTACCACGGACGCGGCAAGGCCTTGCGGTGCAAATACCTCCGCCCCCCGCGTTGGCACTGCTGGTGCCACTGCTGTAGGCTGCTGTCCCTGTGCCGCGCCTGCTGCGAGCTGCCCGAACGTCGCCTGCAGCTCGCCGAGTACTGACGACAGCCCCGCCAACTGCTGCGCCATGTTCACCTGGCCCCGCTGGAGCTCCGCGATGTCGGCTGCCATCGGCGACATCATGACATCACTGTTCGGCTCTGGGTAGTGCGTCTCCAGTTGGCGTAACATTAGCTGCGCCCTCGCCAACTCATTGGTACCGCTGAGTCAGGACAACTAACATGTGCACGAGGGTAGCTTGTGCCTCAACAAAGTCAACCTGTGTCCGTCTCATCTTCCTCTCGGCCCGCTCCATCTGGAGCCTGTCCGTCTGCTGGAGACCGGCCGTCTGCGATCTGCACACTACTAGCATGGCCATGAGGACTGCATATTCCTGCGCCAAATCGTTGACCACGCACACATGGCGCCCAAGCTGCGGACTTGAACGCAACTTCTTGGCGGAGGCGATGACCAGTCGACGAAGATGCCTCCTGTGTGCCTGCGCTGCTTCATTAGTGCGAGGCAGCTCCTGCCATGAAGGGTGCGCCCTGGCCTCCTCAGGGGGCGCAGGCAACACTCCTGTCGGCTGCACCGCCGAATCCTCCGTGTCCGTGCCCTCCTCGACCTCGGACTCCTCGGACGTGACATCTGCCGACTTCGACCGACACGAGGCTCGGGTCCGCCTCGGCCCAGACGTCGCGCGGCCTCTGCTAGCCTCAAGCTCGGGCGCAGCCTCCGCCTCAGGCTCAGGCGTCGGCACCAGCCGACGCGGGAGCATGGCCTCGGCTGCGGCGGCACCAGCCACTGCACGTTCTCCCTGCCGACTACGACCACGCCGTCGACGTCTATCAGCACGTTCTCCCTGCTGACTGCGACCAGCCGTCCCCCCCGACGATCGGGCACGCTGATCGGACTGCGGGTTTGGCGTCTGCTGACGCCTGCCTTTCATTTGCTGCGGTGGTCCAACATTGGCCCACGGCGTTTGGGCAAGCATTGGGAAGCACACTCTGCACGGACTATCCTGCATCATGTTGGGCTCGCCGCGCTGCTCGCATCGCCATGCTGGTGGCGGCGGCGGGACAGGCACGACCTGCTTGCCCCTGCCCTTGCCCGTGCAGCCCCCTTTACCTTCTCCGCGATGTTGCCACGACATCGAACTGTGTGATGATCGCGTAGCCGCTGCGCCGCGACGACAACTCGTAGCAGCACACATGCACTGGCGCGGGCCTGTCACTCACGACGGCGCCAGCTGGCACTCAGCTCCTGCCGCTGGACTGCACCAGCGGCGAGCGGGAAACCCTCGGCGTGCCACGCGTCGCAGTCGCGGCCAAGGCCCAGGCCGCCGATCCGCGCAGCGGCGGGCGCGGGCCAGCACGCGTAGCCGCCCGCCCCTAGTGAGACGTTCGCTGTACCTGTTACAGCGCCCAAGCACCTCTCGAGCAGGGGCGGCAGCTGAAGAGGAGTGACGGAGGGAGGGCGGGGGGGAAGAGGGCCTTCTCCCGCCCCCCGTGGCTCATCTCCTCGCTCCTGCCTCTTCTCGTCCCTTTTATTCTCTTATCATAGACTCCCCTCTCTTCTCTTGGCTTTCCTTCTCTTATAGTGTCATACGCTCTGGTATAGTATACTAGATTGTAGTATCGTAATTTGTCGTATATGCCTTCTCTAGTATGATCTTATCCTCGTTTATGGTAGCCTATAGTATCCTATATTACATCATAGTATATGTTCGGATCTTCTCATATCTTCTCTTATATCATATTCTCTTCTCTTCTCTTATAGTGTATTCGCTTCTCTTCTCTTCTCTTACTATGCATTACCACAAACTATATTATACGATCGTGTAGTATATGATCTCTGTTAGTTGCTCTCTCTCTTATCTTCTATGATCATATCTTCTCTTCTCTTCTTCTCCTCCTCAGCCTTCTCCCGCTTCTCATCCTGCCTGCCTCCTTTCTTCCTCACCCTTCTCCTCTCTCCCTTCTGCCCCCATCGCTCCTCCTCCGCGCCTCCTCGCACCCCCCCTCTCTCCACCCTCGCTGCCTCCTCCCCGCCCCCCCCGACCCCCTCCTCCTCTCCTCCCTCCTTCCCTGCTCTCATTCGTCCCCGCCTCCCGCCAGTGTTCGGCGACGTGCCCGCGAGGAGCTGGAGTCCTCCAGGGGGCTCGCTGCTCCATGGTCGAACGGGCAGCACAAGCCGCCGCCCAGCGCACGGCCGATGCGCTGGGCGGCTCCCTCGACCTGGGGCGGGCCAGCCATCGGCTGTCCTCCTCTTCCTCCTTCTCCTCCTCCTCCTCCTCCTCCTCATCATCATCATCATCAGCATCATCATCCTCTTGCTCCTCCTCTTCTTCCTCCTCCTCCTCCTCCTCCTCATCCTCCTCCTCTTTCTCCCCCTCCTCTCTCCTCTTCCTCCTCCTCCTCCTCCTCCTCCTCCTCCCTCCTCTCTCGTCCTCCTAACTCCTCCCACCTCCTCCGCCTCAGGCTCATGCCCGTTCCTCCATCTCGTACAGATCTCCCTCCTCCTCCTCGTCCTCCTCCACCACCTCATCTTCCTCCTTATCCTCCTCCTTCTCTTCCTTCTCCTCCTCCTCCTCCTCCTCCTCCTCCACCTTCTCCTCCTCCTCCTCCTACTCCTCCTCCTCCTCCTCCTCCTGCCGTCTCCCTGCTCCCTCTCCTTCATCCTGCATCTGTTCACCGCGTTATATCCGTTCCTCCCGCCGACATTATTCCTCCACCTCCCTTTCCTCCTCCTCCTCCTCCTCCTCCTCCACCTCCTCCTCCTCCTCCTCCTCCTCCTCTTCCTCCTCCACCACGACCTACCACCTCCTCCACCTCCGCCTCCTCCTTCTCCTCCTCATTATTTCAACCCCTTAATCATTTACCTCCCTCTCTCCGGCTGCTGGGGTCTCCCTCCTCCTCCTCCTCCTCCTCCTCCTCCTCCGCCTCCTCCTACTCCTGTTCCTGCTCCTGTTCCTGCTCCTCCTCCTCCTCCTCCTCCTTCCCCGATCCGACCCGCCCACCACTCCCACTTCTACATCTCCATTATCCTTGTCCTGGCCTCTCCCTCCTCCTCCTCCTCCTCCTGCCCCCGCCTCCTGCTCCTCCTGCTCGCCATTCCCTCGTCTCCTCTCCCCCCTCCCCCTCCTTCTGCAGCCCTTCGACCTCTGGCGGGCCGACCGTCATTGACGCAGGCGGGATTACGGGGGGGGATGCGCCATGACGATCAGGCAGGCTTTGACCTGCGTCTTGAGCGATCACGGCCACGTGCAGGGGAGGAGGAAGGCAACGACGACGCGCAGGGAAGAGGAGTAGGAGCATGACGACGACGACGACGATGACGACGACCAAGGTCGAGGTTCACGAATGCCGTTCGCCTGGATCGGGCCTCGGAGAAACTTCCCGTCACTGCGGTTCGACATCACATGGAAATGTTGCCAGAACGTACTTTGGAGAGGTCTGGGGGTTGGCAGGAGAGGAGGGGGAGGAGGACGAGCAGAAGGACCAGCGCAAGCGCACGATGCACCAGCGATGCTGCAACAAGCCCTCTGGTCCAGGGTCCCCTCCGCAAGCAAGTCTCTAGAGACGCTTTCCTGCTGACTAGATGAGCATCGTTGATCCGACCCCTATCCCTGGCGGCGTGGCCTGGGCCCCACTGTCCGAGTTGCCCCCCCTAGATGGGGATGTATAGGCCGCTCCCCTCGGGTTTCGAGGGGTGTATCCCCAGCTGTGGGGGTAAATTGGTGGGGCTCTCGAAGGTCGGGGGCGCGCAAGCATGGATTAGCGATCCATGGATTTGGCGCGCGGTCGCCAAATCCATGGATAGAGGGAGGTGCCCTCCCCAAAATGCGGCCGGTGCCGCCTCGCTCGGCGGCGCAAATCCGCGATGTCCCATGGAAACAAGACCCGTCGCTAATCCACGCCCCCTTGATCCCAGACCCCCGACGACATGATTTTTTCATGACGCGACCCCCGAAGGTCCGGACCCATTCCCCAGGGCCGGCTTCTCATCCCGAGTCGTTTTTTGACGGTCCCCAGGCCCGGTAAGGGCCGAAAATAGCGAAAAAACTCCCGCCGTGATTTTTGTCATGACTCGAGGGGGTGCTGGGATCCATGTCTGCGATCGCCCGAGAAGGGGGTGGGGATGGGGATGGGGGCCGGTTGAAACGAGACGGACTACGAGGCAGCACCCCCGCGCGAAAGAACAGGCCCCCCGCGGGCCTGCCAGGCGGGCGAGAGAGCCCCATTTTGTTGAGCTGGGCGCGCGCGCGCTGCACCTCTCCGGCGGCTCCCACAGGGAATGCGGGAGGGCACGGCGGCTCCGAGTCCCTTGGCAATCGTCCCCCGGGTCCGGTCTTTTGAGGCGCCTGTTTGGTATAACTGGGGGGGCTTGGTTAGAAAGGGCGCTCGCTGTGGCATTGGAGCTTAAGGGGGGGTCCGGTTCATGAAAGGCGCCCCGTCGAAGAGGGGGGGTCCGGAATAGTAGGTCGCATCTGGAAGGGGGTCCGGTTTTTGAGGGGGGGGGGTCGATCAAGAAGGGATTTGGAGTGCACAACTCCAAGGGGGGTCCAACGGCAGCTCGCGCCGCGGAGGCGGCCCTTCCCGTGCAGCGTGCTGCGCAAAAGTGTGCGGCTCTGGCCGCGGAGCTCTCGAGGTCAAATCTCGGGCGGAGATGCGCAAATCCGAGGGGTCACCGGGCCTCCATCCGCGCAGCTGTGATACAGTCCGGCCTGTCCCTCTTCAGGAGGAGTATTCGAAGATAGTAAGGAAAATGCGTTGGGGACGAGCTGATTCGTTTCGACTATTTCCCGACGACCGACCTGTAGCGTTGGGTCCTCGTTCTGAGGAGACAGCGCCCCGCGTTCCTCCTCCCGCTGCCACCTCCTTCCTCTCTCCTCCCGTCACCCCCCTCACTCTGGCACACCCCTTACACGTTTCGCGGCCCCATAGGGAGCTCCACCAAACGCCCCACTGGCAGGGTCCGCATGCGGTTCCCCGCCCATTTCAGCACACCCCTCACACGACTCGTGGCCCCATAGGGAGCTCCACCGAAGGCCCCAGCGGCAGGGTCCGCATGCGATTCCCCGCCCATGTCGGCACACCCTTCACACGCTTCGTGGCCCCATCGGGGGCTCCTCCGAAGGCCCCATTGGAAGGGTCCGCATGTGGTTCCCAGCTCATTTCGGCACATCCCTCACACGGTTCGTGGCCCCGTAGGGGGGTCCGTCGAACGATGTACCCAGAACGCGGTATTCACAACTGCGTATGGGTCGTTCGTCTGGCGAATGTTTGATCATGCGGCTTCTCATACAAATTCCTATGGGGACATGCCCGACCTAAAGCTGTTACATACACGTCGTTCATTTCTGCTCGTGTTCATTTCTAATTGTGTTCGCTTCTGATTGTACCTGGCCCCCTGGTGGCCAGAAAGAGGCTCAGGATAGACCACTTAGAAGCGATAGGATCTTGGTCCCCCAAAAAACTAATACTTTTGCCAGAAATATACATGAACAGTGTGTAGACGCTCGATTGGCTGCGCCGAAAATTCCAAGGACCCTCTCAAAGACGGGAGACGCACCTGGAGAGACGGAACCGCCCTTCCCACCACCCACGCATAAGTGCAGACGAGGTGTGCGCGGCGCGACAGCGAGAACCAAACTGTGAGAGGGAACGCCCTCCACCAAAATATGTTTCGAACTCGGGGGGGGGGGGGGGGGGGGAAACACGTCACGCTTGCTAGACTGCCAAGCGCACGCAGCCTCACACTGCAAACCAGGCTCGACATGAAAACCCTGGACTTGTACAGTGAGGGAAATGCCTGTGACACGGAAACGGTACAACGGTACAACCGCCCTCCACCAGTGCAGTGAACGTTTTCGGCTTCAACGTTTCGACACGGGGCGAAAAGGGGGGGGGAAGGGGGGGGTGCCTGGCTCACGACCTCTGCTTAGCGCGACTGTTTGGAACAGTGCGTCCTTTGGGGGAGACTCCACCTGCTCTAAACAAGCGCCCCCAGAGAAATATCTACTCCACGGGGGGGATAAGGGGGGGGGCGCCGATCGGCAAAACAACGACTAAACAAAGACCGCCGTCGTGTCATTTGTTTGACGGCTTCGCGCGGCGTCACGGCTAGAGCTTCATTTTGAAAGCGGGCAAGTCGGTTCTCGCCCCCCCAACTGCTGCGAGCTTCTGAGACGGATGCGCGTGGCGCTGGAGAACGAGATGCACGTTGAAGGCCGCCCGCGCCCCTTGCCTGAAATCGTTGCAAGACTCAAGCTTCAGGATCAGAAAGCGCGAGAAGGTCTCAGGCGAGACACCTGGTCAGCCCTGCAGACACGTCTGGTGGCCACACGAAGAATTACCTACAAGAAAAAGTGGCTAGAGGAGAACGCGATGGAAGAGAAGGAGGAGGACGACGACGACAAAGGCACATCTGGTGCTCACTATCCCACTCTGTTTATACATATATATATGTATATATATACATATTATATATGGAATATGTGTATATATATATATATGTATATGTATATTAAAAAAAGCTCTCTCTCTCTCTCGCTTTCTCTCTCTCTCTCTCCCCCTCTCTCTCTCACTCTAGCTCCGTCTCTTTGTCCATGTCTCTTCTCTGTCTCTGTCTCCGTCTATTTTTTCATGTGTTCTATATGTATATGTATATATAGAATATACGTGTGTGTATATATATATATACTAGAACCATCGCGCGCGCATCGCGCGCGCTCAGGTTCTAATTGAGGCCTCCGCTCAAGTGCGACGCCCGCGACGATTCTTACCGCGAAGACGGCGGCGTGCACTGCAAGCCACGTGTTCCGGAAGCGCACTTCTGGAACATGGGAACGGAGATCCCCGATTATCATCGTCCTGCTGTGCTGCTTTCTCCGTTATTATTCCTCCTTCTTCCTTTTCTGCTCCTCCTCTGGGCGCTCCGCACGGCGCTGCAGTGCGCGCCGTCTGGGGCCCTGGAGAGAGTGCTGAAATTGTCGGCGCCGCCGTCGTCATCGTCGTCGACCTCGTCGTCGTCGTTGTCTTCGTCGTCGTCGGCCTCCTCGTCGTCGCCGGCGTCCTCGTCGCCCTTTCGTTTTCCTCGTCGGCGTCGACGCCGTTTTCGTACTTGGCTTTGACGTCCTGGTGGATCTCTTGGAGACAGTTTTGAAGCATCCTGTGAGCTGTTTTGGGGCTTATTCGAAGCCTGTTGGAGGCCTCTCTGGGGTTTCTTGGGACATCCTGGGGGACTCTCGGTGCCTCTGGGGGTGGCCTGTCGGGATTTCCTGGCGCCCTCTTGAGGCGGAAGGCTCAGATTTCTGTTCGCGGTTCCTCCCTGGAGCCCGCCTTGGGGCCGTCCGAGGGCGTGCTTGGGCCGTCTTCGGCGCCTCTTGGGCTGTCTTGGGGCCTCTGGGGTCGTCTCGGAGCCCCATTGGGGTCTTCGGGTCATGTTGGAGCGGTCTTGGGGGCCTCTGGGGTCGTGCGTCGGGTCTCCGAAAAGGCGCGATTCCCAAAAACCTTCAAAGACGCATGCGACATGAAAGAAATGGGCCTCTCCGGGCTCTCTCGGGAATGCTCTTGGAGGCGTCCAGGGGCGTTTTGGAAGTCTCCTTGGCCGTTTGCGCCCCATCTTGGGCTGTTCGCTTGAAGATGTGAAGGCTGCGCTGGGGCCGCGCGCGGGGTCGGCGCGCGTGGCCCCAGCGCAGTCGCCTGGGAGCCTGAACGGCTGCGCCGCAGACGGCGACCACGACGACTTCGACGACGACGACGACGGCGACCATGCCGCTCGCGTTCGCACGCCATGTTCCAGAGGAGCGTTCCCGGAGCATGGGGCGCCAGAGGCTCCCCCGCTCTTCCCCCCTCCCGGACTATCCTGCCGAGGAGCTCTTGGGTTGCGCAGGGCCGGTCTTGCGGGCTCACGGGGGCTCTCTGGGCCCGCCTGGGGCTGTTTGGGAGCGGGCCTGGAGGCGCGCTGGGAACTGTTGGAGCGTCGGAAAGCAAGATCCTCCAAATCCTGTGTAAAATGAGCGATTTTGGCCTGTTGGGACCCTCTTGGGGGTGCTCCTGGAGGCGTCGTGAGCCATGTTTGAAGCCTCTTTGGGGCTACCTGGGGCCTCCTTAGGACTCTCTTGAGGCGGAAGCCATGGGTTTTACGGACGCGGTCGACCGTATCTTGGACACCTCTCCGGCCTGTTTTGGGGCACTCGTGGGCTGCCCTGGGCGCTTCTTGGGCCAGCCTTGGGCTCTCCGGGACC